GCAGCAGCAGTAGCAGCAGGAGAAGCGGGGGCCAGTACAAGCAATCATCATCGTCGTCGTCGTTGTCGTGGCAATATGGTTCGTTTGCCCCTCTCCATTTGGTTGCATGTTCTGGACAAGCAATGCGGGGCCGGGCCAAAAGGATCTTGTGTGGGATTGGATTTCTGTAAACAATCAGCTTGTCTGTCACACGAAACTGCTAAAACTCGCATGTTTGCGATGGAAGTCTTGCTGCAAGTCTTGTTGTGGAACGCATGTTGGAAGAATAGGCGTGGCGCTGCTCTCTGCATAAGGAATTCTAAGTGCTCTTGCATGGCTTTGCAGGGGGGCTCGAAGATAACTAGACATAGTTGTAGTATTCATACCGATTCATACCGGAACTGAGTTCCCCACGGACGGTGTCGGAGTCGATGTCATCACAGTCTCCACTTTGATTAATGCCTAGTGCCTTGTTGCAATTTAAGGTTTAGGGTTTAAGCCGGGGCTTCTGTAGGAGGTATCATCCGGCGCCGGGACCCCCGAAGCATTTCTCCTCAACCTAAGCCCTAGCCGCCGTAAACCCGTAAACCTATAGCCCTTCACCCTATACTACACCCTGAACTTTTCAACCCGATGTTAAACCCCTGAACCCTCAACCATGTGGTTCGGGTCTGCTTCGCGTTTTTTTGGGCAACAAGATCTGACAACTTAGACCCGGCGGCGGCAGCAAGTTGAGGGCCTTCCGCACCGAGCAGCCTACTTGACACACACACACACACGAACGAGAACTCGACGACAACCCAACATCATCCCGAAAACAACCCCTGGCATCCGGGCATTACCAGGAAGAAATGGAATCTCTTGAATCCTGATTCCTCGGCTCCCGGTCCCCAAACTCTCAACCCACCTTTGGTTGCGAGGAGATCGCATGGGGCCATGCTGATCCAGAGTCCTTGGCACCTGCCCACTTGCAGACGAGCCTCGCCGGGGAGTGGTTGAGGGGGGCTTTTTCCCACCCGCCCCAGCTCTCAAGGTCGTGGTTGAGGGTTTAGGGTTTAGGGGTTGATGGCTCTGGGCTTGGGCTAATAAGGTGTTTACAAGGTGTATGGCTGCTGAGAGAGATAACACTCTCAGCCTCGGACTCGCTCGATGAGGTTTCGAATTCGAAAGCTGTTGGCATGACAACCACGCTCCAACCTCCCCGAACTGCCAAGAACTTTCCTATAACTTGGAGTAGAAAGATCCCCGGAGTAGAAAGACCCCCAGGTTGCTGAACTCCCATACGTCATTCTTGAAGCCCAAACATGCCGGGGGGGTCTCCGCACTCGGGTGAAGACTCGGGGTTTAGGGACATGACATAGCATCATCAAGCAGCTTGAAGCGAGAGTAATAGCAAAGATGCAAGTGATGCTCAACGAGCGCCATACTAAGGATACAAAGGGTGAATACCGAAGGACTTGAGATGACTAATGATGGCGACAGTAGCTTCGTTTCTCTCGAAAGGTAAAGGTGGTGTTGCAGAGTTTAGGCGCAAGGTGTCAAGCTTATGGTCTCTGCGGATGGGTCGCACTGAGGCAAGGGTTTAGGGTTTTCTTGGGGTTCAGAGAGGTCGGCGATGCCCCCTGCTTGCCGGAAAGTACATGACGAAGCGTGATGCCTGTGTAGGGTCGGAAATGAACCCTTGACCCCCAAACCCCAAACCCCTAATTTGGAAACTCTGAACCCTTTATTTTGGAGCAGGTACTGCAATGCACCAAGCCCCGAATCCGTTAAGCCCCTAAACCCCAAGCAACCCAAGACATCTTACATCGTTGCCATGCTCCTTGTTCCATGATAGTTTTGGGCCTTGGCGTGCCCCTTAGTTTTCTATTTTGTGTCCGTTCCACCACGGGTTAAACCTCGTAATGCAGAGTCAGGCTGGGTTTAGGGTTTCGGGTTTCGGGGTTTAGGGTGTAAGGTCGAGAGGGTCTAGACCCGACAGTCGCCCGCGGTCTGCCTGGTCTGGAGCCGGAGCCTGTTGGCGACCTGATTCGGGGATACCGGGCATTCGATGTCCGAGTGGCACGTAAGGGTTCCGCATTTGAATGGTTCGGAGGGATTGCATGGCATGGTCGAGGGTGTTGTTGGTGCTGGGCCCATAGGTTTTTTTTTCGATATGCGTTGTGAGGCTGTGTCGAAAATCGAATGTATTCTACTCACTTAGGGACTTAAGGGTTGGAATATCCGTAGCACCACAGAAAACAGTTCTGCTAAATCATATAATGGCAGCCAGAACTGTTGACATACCTACATACTCACAGGCACGCACACACACACACATGCATGCATGCATGCATGCATGCATGCATGCATGCATGCATGCATGCATGCATACATACGTACATACATTGACATACATACATTGACATACATTGAC